GGACGTCAAGACGCGCAAGTTGGCCACGGTGCTCCTCGTCCACGGCCGCGAGGGCCGCTGGGCCTTCGAGTTCCTCGGGTCCGAGGCGTCGCCGGCGACGTGGGCGGCGACGCTGACCTACCTCGCCGCGGGCGGCTGGATGACGCGGGCGCCCGCGCGCGTGAGCTAATATGCCGGTACTTAACTTCTTTCGGCGGCGCGGCTCTTCCCCGGAGCGGGGGGCGCGCGTGGGTTTTGGCGCGAGCGCGGCGGCGGCGGCGTCGCCCCGGGGCCGGACGTTGGGCGTCCCGGGGGTCATGAGCGCGGCCGCGGCGTCTCGCGGGGAATGGGGTGAGCGATCTAGAGGCCACCAACGGGGCAGTTGGTGTCGCCGGCTCAGCCCATACAGAAGCCGCACTTGCGGGCGGCCGTGATGGCGTCGTCGAACTCGAGGTCGCCGTTGTCGAGGCCGACGTCGAAGAACGTCGTCTCCGCCTCGGCGATGATCGTCGCCGCGGGCTGGGTCGCGCGCGGCTGCACGGCCGGCGGCGCGAACCTGCGCGCGAGAGAGGGTTCGGGGCAGTGGCGACAGCTCGACGGCGCCGGCGGCGCGCGCGACGGCGACCATGAGGCCCAGCGCTGCGAGCAGCACGCGGAACAGGTTCACTGGGTTGCTGCGCGGGGGTAATGGGTGTTCAGGAGTGCGTATGGGCGTGATGGGTACGGCGTGTTTCAGGCGTGCGCGTGGGGCTGGCGCACCTATGCACGACCCGCACCATGACTTGCTTCCGAGAGCACTGATGCTTCAAGCCGAGAGTCGATTGAGAGCAGCTTCAAGATGAAGCTGGTGTTGCCCCAGTGACTGCGCTTGGCCTGTATTTCGCGGAGTGCGGGGCTGCCTTCGCGGCGAAGCGCCCGGAATAAGGTCCGCTAGCAACGTGCAGCCCGCAGGGTCGCACACCCACAACCCGCAACAAACAACAACAACACCAGCAACAACGATGTTCGGCCGCAAGGGCGCCGCGCGCGTGCTGCCCAAGCTGCCGTCGCGCCGGGAGCTCGAGCACGACATCGAGGAGGTCTTCACGCCGCTGCACGGCTTCAAGAGCCGCCCGCGCGAGGACCCGGAGGTGCTCGAGCCGCTGTCGCCGGCGCCGTTCCGCAAGGGCACGCCGGTCGTCGTGAAGACGCCCGCGCGGCGCCGGCCGCTCGCGTGCTGCTGCTGTTTCGTCGTCGCCGCGGCCGTCGCCGGCGCGGCCTACGGGCTGACCGGTTCTTCGTCGTCGTCCTCCTCCTCGCCGGCGACCTACGCCGTCTCCGGCGAGCTCGAGTTCGAGCACGTGGGCCTCGCGGCCGCGAAGAACCACAGCCAAGTCTTCGCGGCCGTCTTCGCGGACATCGTCGGCGACGTCGTCGCCGTGGACTTCCGCGACGCCACGGAACGCCGCCGCGTCCTGGCGGATTTCGCCACGGAACGCCGCGTCCTGGCGGACTTCGTCGTCTGCGCCTACGTCTACGACGCGCCGTCGCGCGACGCCGCGGCGGCGGCCAAGGAGGCCCTCGACGGCTACAGACTCGCGAATTTCACGAAAGCCGTCGCCGACGCGGACGACGACCTCAGCGCCTTCGTCGCCACGGCGCTGACGGCCCGCGCGGAGAACGTCTTCGCGCCGACCGCAGAGCCGACCGCGGCGCCGACTGCAGCGCCGACCGCGGCGCCGACCAAAGCGCCGACGGCGCCGCGAGCGACGCCCCGGCCTTCGCCCGCGCCGACGCCGCCGCCGCCGTCGCCCGGCCCAACGCTCGCGCCCACGGCCTCGTTCCTCCGCTTCGCCGCGGAGCACATCTACTGCGTCGCCGCGACGCCCTGCGATTTGGTGTGGACCTACCGCGGCGGCGCGTGCGCCGACGTCCGCCTCTCGGGCGTCGGCGCCGCGGTCGTCGTCGCGAACGCCGGCGCGCACCGAGTGACGCTCGAGACCATGGGCGCCTACGACGCGGCGCTCGAGTGCGTCGACGGCTCCGCGCCGCGCGCGACGGCCGCCGTCACCGTGTCGTCGACGCTCCCGCCGACGGCCGGGCCCACGAATCGACCGAGCGCCCGCCCGTCGACGGCGGGACCGACCCCGGGCCCCACGACCCCGTCCCCTTCCACGGCGCGGCCGACAGTGTCGCCCGGCAGCCCGACGGCCGGCCCCTCGCTGCGGCCTACGGCGCCGCCGACGCTCCCGCCGTCGACGCGGCCGTCCGCGGCGCCGCAGCGCCCGCCGCCGCCACCGCCGACGGCCGCGCCGACGGAGCACATCCACGTCGCCGCGGGCGCCGTGGCGGCGGGCCGCGCGCGCCTCGCCGTCGCCGACCCCGGCGAGCTCCGCGTGGTCGTGCGCGCCGACGGCACGCCCGCGGGCCGATCCTACGACGGCGAGGACTGGGAGCGCGTCTACCCGTTGCTGCTCGACTTCGCCTGCGAAGCCTGCGACGCCTGCGCCGGCGGCGTGGAACGCTTCTGCGTCGTCGACCTGCCCACGGACTTCGTCACCGCGGAGCAGTTCGAGCTCGAGCTCGCCGGCGAGGTCGCCCCGTCGTCGTCGGAGTTCCGCATCGAGATCTTCAGCTCTTCGTCGTCGGACGAGGCGCTCGCGGCGCGGTTCCTCATCCAGGCGTCCTTCGGCCCCACGGAGGCGACGGTCGAGGCGCTCGCCGCGGGGGGCAACGACTTTGGCGGCTGGATCGACGCGCAGATGGCCCTCGAGCCGACGCTGCACCGGGCCTACTACCGCGCGCGCCAGAACAACCGCGTCCCCGGGCTCGTGACCGCGGGCGCGGTGCGGCTCCCCTGCGACACACACTCGCGGTGGCAGCGGTCCGCGTTCCGCGTCTTCCTGGACGAGGGCAGGACTTTGGACGTCGTCGAGACCGACGGCGTCTTCGTCCTCTCCGTCGACGGTTTCGCGAGAACGGAGGCCGCGTCGTTCGCGCCCGGCGCGGGCAGCTACACGATCTGCGACGTCGACCACGACGGCACGGTCGAAATCGACGACGGCTCCGAAACCTGCGACGTGACCTTTGACGCGCCGGACGTCGCCTTCGGCGCCGCGCCGCCGACCGTGATCGACGCGGCGCTCGTCGACGCGGACACGCCCGTGCGCGGCGTCAAGCTCCTGGAAACGCTCGTCGACGACCGCGGCCTCTGCCCGCTGGCGCTCGTCGGCGAGGACGCGCCGGACGCGGTCTTCGCGCTCGACGACGATGGCGTCTATTATCTCTACGACCCGCGCGTGAAACTCAACGACAATTCCGTCGACGCGCCCGTCGCGGGCGGCGACGCGGGCACGATGTGCGGCACGGCGCCCAAGACCTTCCTCAACGAGCGCTCCTGCGTCGCCGCGGCGGCGGCGTGCTCGACGCTGGGCTACGCGTCCGCGCTCTTCCCCCTGGACGACGACCACCTGCGCGGCTTTTTATGAGCTCTCGGGCCGCTACATCTACGCCGTCGAGGGCCTGGACGTCGCCTTGGTCGACTCGCCCTGCGACGCCGCGATCTCGCGCTGGAAACGCGACAACTCCAGCGACGCCTGCGCGTCCGCCGTCGCGGGGGCGACGGGAAGCACGCTCGCGGCCGCCGTCGCCGCGGCGCTCCGCGACGCCGTCGTCGCCGACGAGGCGACGGCCTGCGACGCCGCCGACGCCCCGGCCGGGTCCGCCGTGCTCATCGGCGGCGCGTGCTGGGTCCACGTCCACGACGACGAGGGCGGCGTCTTCGATTTTACCTTCTGGGCCTCCGACGAGGGCCACCCGGGGAACGCGTACACCCCTCAAAACATGATCGCCGCGCCGGCGCTCAACGAATCGACGGCCATCGCCTACCCGGCGAGCCACGGCGCCCAGCGCTGGAGCGACGCCGTCGCGGACCTCGCCGCGTTCGGCAAGCGGGGCGACGTCGTCGACTTCGCGGATTTGGTCCCCGAGTCCCAGTCCTACGCCTTCGCGCAAAAGGTCGGCGCGGCGTCGTCTGACGACGGCGGCGGCTTCCTCGAGGCCTGCGGCAGCCCGGGCGAGGTCGCCAACGACCCGACGCTCGGCAACCGCTACTACGCGTACCTCTCGGAGGACAACACGCCGCACGTGCAGGCGCTCGACGCGCAGCAGCTCGGCACGGACCGCGGCAAGTCCAACGTCTGGCACTCCATCGCCCTGGATGCGCCGGACCAGCTGCGCCAGCGCGTCGCCTGGGCCCTCGCGCAGATCTTCGTGTCGAACGTCGGGAGCTTGAGGGCCACGGAAGCGTGGGTCGCGTACTACGACATTATTACCCGCAACGCCTTCGGCAATTATCGGGATGTCCTGCGGGAGGTCGCC